TGTTTTTCTCGTTGCCATGTTCCCACCAATAACGTAGCTCCATTTTCTGCCTTTAAAAGCACACACAACCCACAATTCCTCTATTCGCTCCGACGAAGGGCTAACGCTCGAAACGTCAGCTTTTGTAATCGTTACGGTGGCCAATTTACCATTTCAACTTTGTTGATACATCCAAATTATTTCGTTACTCCCACCGACGCAGCCCCAAACAGTTTTTTTCGAAACTATCAGCCTTTATCCAAGAAGAGTTAGCTCCCAGTCCCACTCCCAATCTCTCAATTTTACATATACAGTGGAACCCATCTAAACCGGACCCTCATTAAACCGGAATTCTCTCTCTACCGGACCTTTCTTTCGGCCCCAAAATCTCTGTCATACATTTTTCTCTATTTTTAACCTCAATAAAACCGGAACCCCTCACTTCCGGAAACCGAACGCTGTTTTCAGTCCGTAATCACTTACTGACAAAGAAATTTACCTTGTTAAACCGGACGTGAAAGTTTTAAGGTTGTCGCCAAAATGAAGTCACACGTTTTAAAACGTGATTAAAATTAAAATCGTAATCATGCAGCAGTGAAATCCCAATCAGAAGCGAGAAACGCGCATCGGCTAATTACTTATTGTTCTATCGGTACTGAAGCAAAACCTCTAAAGTCGACAATCGTGCCTCGTTTGTTAGGTTGAATGAAGACAAATATAGGGGTCTGTCAAGTTGCGGGTGAAATCACTTGCGAAAACAAACGAAGTAGCAAACATCACTATGTCTGAGAGACCAGCAAAACGCCAAAGAATCGAGTTATCGTTCGAGAAGAGAATTGAGTTGATCAAATGCGCGGAATCAGCGCCTAAACCAACACTGAAGGCTCTAAGCGGTAAATGTGGGATCAATAAATCAACTGTACGTGATATTTTAAAGAAGAAAGAAGTCTACAGATGAATTAAAAGCGGCGATCATATTACCCTGTGTGTAGTGTGTAACTGAATTTTTTTGTAGATTAAATAAAATGACGTTGAAAAGCTTCCTTGTGATCCATGTTATTAGTTCCTTTACAGAAGTGCTTTATTAGTGCTCGTGTTCCATGTACTGGTACTTACAGTCAGACGTTGCATTATGCTGCATAAAATTGCCTTATGGGTAAAACCTCAGTACACCCGTCTAAACCGGACGTTTCCTCCGGTCCCAAGGGCGTCCGGTTTTGAGGGGTTCCACTGTACCGGTAAAGGTAAGTTCCGGTAGCCATGCACCGGTGGACTCAATGTCTCATGTAAGCCCTAAAGGGCGGAAAACCTAGCAAGACGGGAGGGTTCCACCCGGGTAAAGTAAAAAAGTACGGGGGTATCTAAAATCTAAATCTGAGATACAAATCACTGATACTAACTGCAATGTTTTGTTTGTTTCCTTTCAGGTCGTAATTTGTTGTGTGACCAAGCGTTACTGCGTGTCCGAAATGTGCCAAAGAGAAGTCACTCTGGCAGATACTTTGCGAAAGCCTATCATTCCAGTCCTGTTTGAGTTCATAGACTGGCCGCCTCCCGGCCAACTGGCTTTGATTTTTGCTAAACTGCTTTACATTGACATGTCCCAAGGTCCTACCGGCAGTTTTCCTGAGGACAAGTTACAGGAACTTTTTCTAAAAGTTAATGGCCACGTTGAACGTTGAATTACTGAAGCCGATGAAGACATTCGAAGGTTAACGGGAACTTACGATGTGTTTTCAAGCGTCTTCATGCAGGGTTGATCGCTAGGCTTGTAAAGATAACGGAAATCGATGGCTTCCGAGGACTAACAACTGTTCCAGACGGTCGTCAGACAAAAAAAAAAATCAGTTCTCTCAGTGCTGCTACTTAACAATTATTCCACGAGCGCGCGTTGGATATGAGATGATAGATAGCCAACGAGGCGCGTAGCGCCGAGTTGGCTATAACCATCTCATATCCAACAAGCGCGAGTGGAATAATTGTTTTATCAAAAACGCCCCCAAGAAATTATTATTTTGTAAGAAGAAACTGGATTTTTTTAGCTCCCTTTTGATTTTAAGCTGATGCGTACGCTTACCATATTTGTAGATTATGGTGTATTGGCTGATATACCATAATGGCTAAGCCAATAAAAAGTCTTGAATTGCATTATCCAATGATCCAGCTTTTAATAAAAAGAAATAGCCTATGCCATTCCAGGCTCTCGGTTAGCGAATACCAACGGAAAAGCAGTCCAGCGAAAACTGGCGGGGTTCTGGGAATAAGTGTCGCTCTCCTTGGTCCCCTCTTCGTTTTTCTCTCGCTGGCTGCGCCATTTCGCTCTCCCAGCATATATAAAATAATAAAAGGAGGAATCCGAATAACAAAATGATCGTACTTTTTTTATTATTTTCATTCAAGACTTCTGTACAATTCCTGTTAATAAAATAAGCTGTTTTAATTTGAACGTGTTTTACTGCGATTGCTCTATAGCTTGTCAAAAAGCTTCCTTGTTCAAGGCGAGATCAGTTTCAAACTACAGTTATCGCATCTGTCTCTTTCATCCTTATTCCTCCGTCTTATCTTGAATGTGTTCAACTTTCTATCTTAACCTCTCTGAATCATCATCTGCAGACTAGCAGGAGCAAGTGATTTGAAGAGTCGCTCGAGTTCCTGTTGGTCACAAAAGTTAACCCCAAAGACGAAGCTCTAGAGATTTTTTTGAGTTTAATTGTTTCAATTTTCTTCGAACAACAGTTTTCAATCTGTTCTCTCCACAAGGAAATTAGGGTAGAACCGAAGACCCTCGACGCTGTCATCCCTGCAGGCCTTGCCAGCTTGTTCAGTTACTAGGAGCCTTTAACAACAAAAGCAACCTGTTAGGGAACTTGAATCGACTTCCCAAAGACTCGAACCTCCCAAGGAGATCGAAGGAGGGTTGAGTTAGCGCGTCTATACACCTGCATTCATACAGTGTACGTTTGATTAATATTTTGGTGTAGTTCGTATGATAAGAAGAATCCGCCACGTATTTTGAAAGGTCCTTATTACGAATCCTCCACGCATTATGATTGGTCCTTATTATGAATCCTACATACATTATGATTGATCCTTATTATGAATCCTACACGCATTTTGATTGATCCTTCTTTTGAATCCTACACGCATTTTGATTGGACCTTATTATGAATTCTACATGCATTTGATTGATCATTATGAAACCTACAGGCAGTTTGATTGGCCCTTATTATGAATCCTACAAGCATTCTGATTAGTCCTGATTTGTGAGAAGCATAGATGATATCACCACTGACAACATCTTGCTTTTACTAACCATAAAAAAAACAAATAGAATCACGGAATCAAGGCAACATGATGTTACTTTGGTTCGGTTCATTTACTCCAAAAGATCACAGAAGACTTCAAATGAGGTAAGACCATTATTCACACACTCGTGTGCCATGGTTTTTGCGCTTACCACATTTTAACGTTATCTGTGATGTTTCACTGAACGGAGGCACATCAAAATCGAATCTTTCTCTTGGAAAGGGTTAGTTATGGGGGTAAGATTACAGTTATCCTTTGATGGAAATCCTGGGGAAGTCGAGTTTGGTTTGAGTTAGCGCGAAATCTGAGTTAGCGCGAAATCCGAGTTAGCGAGAATTCGAGTAAAATAGGGAGACGACTCAATGAGGATTTATATAATTCAGAATTATTAAAATTGGAGTCAATGATTAAGATTCGCACGCTTCGCTATAAACTGACTTCCGACCCTCATGACATAGTAAATATCAACACAAGTGTGATTAACGTTACCTTTCTCTGGCCAACATGACGGATACTTTCGCCAAGTGTGCGAGTTCCTCAGCTGTTAATGAACTCTTTTCATCGAGCTTTTACATGCAAGTAGAAAAGGCAAACCAACAGAGTTGTCGAAATTTTAAGCTGACGTGGATATCGCTCATTATACACAGAAAGAAAAATGTAAAATATTAAAAGCGTGTGGCCATTTGGGAAAGGGTGTACATCGAGGCCTAAAAACCCTGACCTGGTTTGAAATCTTTGCACATTAACATTAGTATGTATATTCTTCACATTCTTCACTGTGTCGACAAGGAAAATGTGTTTAACAGACAAGAACTTTTTTAGTTGGCTATCATTTCCTTAATTCTTTTGACTTAAACACGAAGACGCGCTATAAAAGGAGAGGTCCCTTAGGTGCCTGGCATGGTAGACGAACAAAAGGAGCTAATGAGATGTTTACTTCCACCAGCATGGTGGCAATGATGTAACGTGTGAACCACCTACTTCGATTTCAAATTTACCGCCACAAATAAAGACAGTTTACATTGGAGAAAGGAAATACAAATCTCAAAAATTCTTGTATTGTGATGAAGACATAAAACAATTTTGAGGAATGCGTCCGCTGTTCAATGCTTTGGATTAGCTATAGCTCAAGCTATATGTGTTCTACATCACACGACGGTTGATTGACAAATGGTCCAGAGGTACCGAAGGCACCCCTCCTTTTATAACGCGCCTTCGTGTTTAAATGCTTAATTCCTTTGAGATACTGTGAGGAGAATGTAGATCCTGGTCACTCAGTTGGGAACTTGAGGGTTGAGACAACTGTCGTGGTTTGTGGCAAATCGATCACACTGAACCACGTACTGAGCCACAATATTCGAAAATAACATTTTATAACCTGAACAAACCTCGTTCCCAGGGTCTCTCATCTTCCTGTCCCCAGGAGCGAGAGAGGATAATGGCGGGAAGTTGAGAGACCCTGGGAACGAGGTTGACCCTGAACCGCTTTCGGACACAGGCTAAAAGAAGGGAGTGCCCCGCCCCTTCCTTTCCATCCCACTCCACCCCACCGGGGGCTACACGTCTATGCTTACCATTTGCCTGGTTGTCCGTATGACTTCCTCGTCATTGTGGGACAAAACTTGAATAACCAGCACACCACTGTCAAAAGATCGTAATCTGCAAGACATATCCACGCGTTAGCACTTGTAAAGGCATGAAAATAATTATTTTCCGTCCGCTTAATTATGATGATCGCTAAAGCTTCTACACAACTACTTGCGCGGCTCTGAAAGCGAATAGAGGTTGTGACATCGAAATGAGAAACTTGACGAAAATCTGTTACTTAAAGTAACCAAAGAGAGTTCCTTGTCGTTGTCATAACTGTAATCACATACTCTCTCTTTTCCGTCTTCAACCGTCGGATGAGTGAAAAAATGCTCGCCGCACCAACAGTGGCGTAACTTTAATACCTGTGAACTCGAATGACTTAAAAGTAGGTCAAATGAAATAGGAGCAATAGAGGAGAAGGTCGAGTCCAAAATGAAGTTCAATTCTACTCAGTTTGGAGATGAGAGAAATCATTGCAATTACGAATACTACTTCAGTAGCGGTGAAAACAACACCTCCACTTGTTCTGCAGTCGCGAGATGTAGTGGACATCCAGTTCATTGTATTTGACGCGCGTGAACTCACGATTGGCTTACAAGCAAGCACGTTAAAATAAGCGACAGCGCAAAGCAAGCAAGCAAGCCGGAAAATTTGTTTGGGAGAGGAGAATACTCGCAGCCTAACGATTGTCGTTTAAAATATGACGTAAGCCAACTTATGTCAAGACATACAGGAACGAAAAGTTGCGCTACTCCTTTGCGATATACCCACGTATCTATTAACACTAACTCTTCATTGACAAGTGATTATTTTAGCATGTAAATTTTTAAAATTTCAGTAGATAGATACTTTATTATAAACACCTTGCAGCCATAGGCTGAATTACGGAATATTTACAAATACAGATGATAAAGAAAGGAGTATAAAATATTACAACTTCGTCGTTAAGAAAGAAGGAAAATTATGTACATCTTATAAATATGGCTAAAAATAAAACTGTTCTTCAAGCGCTCGATTTTGCATATGGGGAGAGTGAAATCACTTTTGCGCCTCAGCAATTCACGCAATAAGAAATGAGATGACAGCCCAGCTCACCTTAAAGGAATATTCACAGCTGAAAACATGTTGGCTGCATTTATTAAGTCTTCAGGGGAAACAAGCTGAAGAGAGAATACCACAATTAACACAATGATTAAATGCGACACTTCAAAAACATCGTGACCAGAAAAATAAAAGCTTCACCCGCTGCCTGGAGTTCAGATTTAACTGTCTAGTATTGCACTACTTTTTCAAGACATTTAAATTTTTGGAAGTATTTACCTAATGGCCATAGAGGCATGCACTTCTTTCCCTACCTTGACCGAATTTGATCATAAACAAGTGAAAATATTAGTGGGAAAAACACACACTTTCGTCATTTATAATCCATGTTAACCCTTTTCATACTTCGCCATCCTTGTACCTCTCTGGCTTATACTTCTTCTTTATGTTTCTACGTTTACAGAACAGACATTTTGTAGTTTTCTTCACATTAACCACATAGGACCTAAAAAAATATTTCCGTCACCAGCTCCTATTTAGGAGCACTTTATGCAAAACGGACGATACACAAACCTCCATTCCTCTTGCTCTGTTGAATCTACAGTATACATCGGTCAGCGCCATCATTCCTCCTTCGCCCTTCAATGATAGTAATGATAAACATATCAAAATGAAATGAAGTGCAATCTATCATTTGGTTACATCTTCTGAATCTATAACAGACTTTTCTCCTGGGGCAAATGCATGCAAGACTTGTAATTAGACTATATGTATGTACTAAGTTACTGAGTTCTCTTTTCTGTATAGCTTTAGATATGCTTTTACTTATCAGATTATTAGACTTTGAATCTGTTCAGATTTGACTCCGTTATTTACAGTTTTCCAGAAACTAAGTTACTGAGTTCGTTTCAAAGTTTGTTCATGCCTCCATTCCTGAAATCGCAAATACAACTGTCATCGCCCACTCTCTGCCTAGAACAGGCTTGAATTGCTGAAATCAAGTCTAAGCACCAGGAAATGAAAGAATACGGGGCACATCTTACCGAAATGATTTTTTGTAAGAATGTTCCGAGTTCTTTAGCGAGTTCTTTATGATAACTTGCACCAGAGCCATGCGTCTCCCTTAAAATACATAAAGTTTATGAATGTTTTTCAAATAAGCACCAAGTTAAAGAGTTGCTTGTGGTATTTTTTCCGTGTTTAGTCTGTGAAACTGTGCTATGATTAAGAAAGGCTACTTCATCTATTTAACTAAAGAGACGATTTAGTGACATTCGATGTTATAATTCATAAGCAAATTTCAGTTCAGTGTAGAAAAGTAATCCTGAATTAGTTTGGTTTTGCTTAACTTTGCTCTGTGATTGGTCCAGAAAACTTGTGCCAATCTCTTAACCAATCAGATGCAAAACTAAAAAACCAATCACGAGTTGGTCGCCCGCGTTTTTCCGCGCTTTTAGCAGTTTGTTCGGTTTGACTTTGAGTTGTCATTGGCTCTTTAAGGTATTTTCCTTCCTTCTAATTATTGGTCGTTGCGATAACTTTGCTTTGTTTTTACGGCCCTGAATCGAAAAGTGCTCCAATTAA